CATTGAAAGCAAGTGGGTCTCGAAAAATTACCATTTTGAAAAGTGAGTCTCGGCCCATAAAAGTTTGGGAAGCCCTGATTTAATATATCAATACATTTTGTACCTAATATTCTGTGTACACTTTTTATGTGTTTGTGTATTTTTAATTACTTTGATAATAATGAAGCAGATCACTGAAAAAGAAAGCTAAATCACCGGATCTACGCTATATGGAAGAATGAAGATGCCTCGGCTACCGGGGCAAACTACAGCCCCAAGCGCACAAACCACCCGACATCCAGAGCCATAACAGTGATAATAGTGCTGGGGAGAACACACCGATCCTGTGGATGCTGTTTTTATTCGCCGGAGGCACCAAAACTCGGTGCAATACGCCTCGGGCCTACCGCGCGGGAACTCCGCGTTTGCCGCACTTTACAATCTGGGACGGGGATGACTTTGACCCGCTACCACTCACAGCCAGCCCACCCAGGGAACCATCGGAACCCATGAAGGGCCGCAAATCCCAGAAACAGGCGGCGGCAGCAACCGCCTCAAATCATGATATTGGACAGATGCTGTCATCAACTCCACGCACCCAGGAGCCATTGCCACGCCAGCCTGAGACAGCTCCCAGCGCGGTAGGAGAGAAAACACACACAGACGAAGCCTGAACAACACATGGTGCAGAGAAACCTGTCACAGACAAACCTGTTACAAGGCAGGACATCCACGACTTACTGGCACACTTCCAGGACATGTTCTTTGCAGAAATCAACATGGTCAAAACTGAATTGAAAGCAGTCACAGAACGCCTCCAAGCATCTGAGGAGGACACTGCTGACCTGAGGCAAAGCATGACGACTCAAGGGGAATCAATACAGAACCTGCAAGAGTCCCACTCCCTACTAGCTGCCAGAATGGATACCCTAGAAGATAGGAGCTGACAAAAGAATGTCAAAATCCGGGGTGTGGAGGAATTACCACATCTCATCAGGCAACTTATTGCATCTCTCCTTCCAGCCAAACATGCTAAACAGTTTGACTATGATGGACTATACCGCATTGCAACTTTCTCACAAGCACTGAACAACGTCCCCAGGGACATCATACTCTGCTGTCGATCCCATGCAGACAAACAAAGGCTGTTACAGGCGCTGCGGGGGAAAACCCCACTTCTTTTCGAAACTTACTCCCTTACATTTTACCAAGATCTTAGCAAAGCCACCCTAATGTGGCGCAAATCAATGCGCCCCATCACGCAACCCTTACTGACAGCCCTACAAATGGACTAACCCAAGATCGCTGGTGTGCACCAAAGAAGGGAAGACCCACAAAGCTGCAAACCCCTCGGAGGGGCTGAAACTTCTGCAAGCACTAGGCCTCCCGGAGCCAGACCCAGCAACAACGTCACGACGAATATGGGATTTAGACCGGATCACTCCTTTCATTCCCGGAGGGGAACGGGACTCAGTAACCTGAATGTGCTCGCATACACATACCTTTGCAAGTTTAACGTTAATATTGTTTTACGTTTTACCTTTATGTTTAGTATTGCTCTCTAGACGGCTTCACATGCAGCCTTGTTTAATTTACTTTTTATATTTTTCTTATTACTGAAGGTTAAATCCCAGATTTCATATAATGCTCCTGACACTATCACTTACTCGACATCAAAGGGCGAATTGAATAATCAGCCATCGAATACCCTTACTCAAACCCTTTAGATCTTGACACGCTTCACCCCCCCCCTAGGGAACAGGGGAACACTATAAAGGCCTGAGACATCATGCACAAGCGTTTACGCATAGGATGAGTTCCTACTCTTGACATCCATAACAGTCTAGCTGCCCTACTACTCTGAACAAGGGTACTAGTGCCACCCCTCGCACTCTGTCAGGGACCTTGAAGCCGATGTACTTGGGTACGAGGGCCTCTCAACATAAAAGACACAGCAACACCCCACATGTGAAGGCACACAAAACCCCTGGGGCTCTCTTTACTGGCAGGGATGCCTTCAATATCAGCCAGAACTGGTTTTACCAGCCTGGTTATACTCCCAAGCATGCACCAAACCCTCAAGAAACACAGTGCCGCTTAATAGACACAGGCCGCACACCATCATAGCAGCAGGGTTTAGGAATCACACTTCTTTTGACCCCCCAAGCTACCACACAAGCCCTTATTTAAGAGCACCAACGAATCATCACCCTGTTCCACAATAGATGGACATATAATGACATGCCCCTTATTGCATACCCTCACCATCTACACTGGCACACCCCTAATCAGCTAGGATCAGAAGGGGTGGAATGTACACATGCTTACTAGCTAGACATGCTTGACTCAACTCGTCCACATATGTACCTTAGGAATCTTATTTACCAAAAAACTGTGCAAAGTTACCATACAATATGCCATACCAATGTTAATGTTTGTAAACGATTGATTGGACTGCAGAAATGGTCATGGCACTGCACGCTTCTTTGTATTCACTTGCACTACAAAAAAAAAAGAATAAAAAAAAAAGAATGAAGATGCCTCAATCCAGCAAAAGGAGCAAAAGGACTCACACATTTCATGCCTACAACATGTCATCAGTGTGTATGTCAGTATATGTGTGTATCTGTTTGTGCAGAAGTGTGTGCGACAGTATGTTTTTGTGTATCTGTATCTGTGTGTGCCTGTCTGTGTCTGTCTGTATCTGTGTATACCTCTCTGCCTGTGTGGGACTGTATGTGCCTGTCTGTATCAGTGTGCACCTCTCTCTGCCGCCCTGTGTCTGGGAATGTATACCCCAGCTGGTGATTACCTGTCTATGTCTTTCTATTTCTGTCTGTGTGAGTGTATCTGTATCTGTGTGTGCCTCTCTGTCTGTGTAAACCTGTCTTTGTCTGTCTGTGCCTGTATGTGGCTGTCTGTACCTGTGTGTACCATTGTCTGCACCTGTCTGTTACTGTCTTTCTCTTTGCCTGCATGTTCCAATCTGTGCTTGTGTGTGTCTGTTTGTGTGAATGCATCTGGGCACCTATATGTGTCCATAAGTAACTGTGAATGTGTCAAGAGGCCTGTTAAGGGGTCACATTTCCAGAAGGGGCAGTAGTGGAGTTTTATAAAATGGGTCACAAAATTATTTTTGGGCTCAAGCCCTGGGTATTTTTGATCTCTGGGAGGTATTACAAAAGTTAAAAAATTAAGTTATGTTGAATGTTCTAATTGACCAATACCTGCACTATTACTTATGTGATTGTATTAATTTCTTCAGAACACTCTTATAAGCATATCTTATACAATGAAAATGTTTCTTGACTTTTTAGGTGTTCTTTTTTTTTTTTTTTTTAAAGACACTTTAGTCTCCAGAACCACTACAGCTTAATGTCTCTGCATGCTCAGAAGTGTAAACAATGCCTTTTTAGAGAAAATGCAGTTTTTACATTCCTGCCTTGTAATACCTTTAGTGGCAGTCACTCAGGCAGCCACTATAGGTGCTTCATATTATCATGCTGCACTGTGTGCAGCCCCTATGTTCAGCGCATACAATGCAATTTCTTTGATGAGATGCTGATTGGTACGGCACAGCATTTTGCAGCGCATTCGCCATAGACTCCCAATGCTTTCCTATTGTAAAGTTTCGGATTGGCTGAGATCACCAACATTGATCATCTCAGACATGGAGGTGGGATCAGCCGTGACAAGACCAGCGTGGCAAAACCAGTGCAGCTATGGAGAAAAAATGAGTTTAGGCCTAAGTAGGTAGTCCTACACTAAAGTGTTAGGATTACATGTTTGCATTAGTAACACTACAGAGTTTAAGAACAGTAGTGGATATTTCTTTTTTTTTTTTTTTTGCATTTATTTGTAAAGAAAAAACAATTGAGGTAAAGCTGAGCTTAAATCCTTTGAAAAGTGCTGCTGACAATATTTATTGATGGCATTTTCTTGCAGCTAGATACAATATAATGTTCTGTAAAACAATTGTATATACTCATTTAAACAATTTCATACAAATCTTTCTTTGATACTCTGCATTGCCTACATGTCAAATGTTTATTATTTACACATCAGCCTATCTATCTGGTATTTCGATGGTTAAATTGATATATTTAGGGTACAGGCACACTTCAGAAATTGACATATATTCAGCATGCCACAGCCGTCAAATCTTTCACAGAGGTTTCTATTCTTGAGCTAATACTGTAGACTGAGGTTGATGTGTTGCCCAAGGCAACGATGTAATCCTCTTCTCTAATGGCTGCCAAACAGTTAGTGTCATTATCTGAAGCCATATGTAAGCCAAGTTTTAATGACACTGATAATTTGTTTCATAGGTTCATCTAGTTGTGTTTTGTGTGAAATTGTCAGCAACTGAAAAAAAAATATAACTTCACCTGAAAGTCTTCTTGACAAAAAGGAGAGTGAATGAGTGTAAATTATGGTTGTTGTGTTGTTAAATTCTATTTTGTTAAGTGAACCATATTTCCCTATCATAAAACTATTCTGTATCACATTACATTGACCATATGTGTCCAGCATTTTTGGCTCAAATAAAACATATTACATAAAATTAAAGAAATAGTCCCCGCACCATAAGTACAACGGTGCGTTGTAGTGGTTATGGTGCCAGTAGTGCCATGGCACCTCCCTATTGTAATTAGTATAACCTGCTATAGTTTAGCAACAAATTATAGCAACAAATTATAATTAGGCTGTAAAGGGGCACTCTAAAGACAAAATAGAGGAATTAAAAAAAAAAAGACAATCACTGTTTAGTAAATATATCCCCAATGAAAGCATATATGCACATTTCTAATAGGGTACATCTAAAAACTGCTTGCAAAAGCTGCAGATCCCTTGTTTAAAGCATTTACTTGCCCTCCCTTGCCACCCAGACCAGACTTACTGTACCTGTAAGTAGTTTAGCTTCACTGAGCTAGACAACCAGGAAGTGACAGGACCCATTTTCTGATTGACATGCATGAGGATGTAATAGTGTTAATTTATAAAAGTGCCAATTTCTTTCAAAGAAAAGAGGATACACTCTAAGAAGCTTTGATGGATTAAAGTACTTTAGAGATCTGGAGTGTCCCTTACACTTACACTTTTTAGCTACACTGTGATATTTTCTTTACTAAGCGATGGTTAAATATATCACTTATTTAAAGGAACACTATAGTCACCTAAATTACTTTAGCTAAATAAAGCAGTTTTAGTGTATAGATCATTGCCCTGCAATTTCACTGCTCAATTCACTGTCATTTAGGAGTTAAATCACTTTGTTTCTGTTTATGCAGCCCTAGCCACTCCTCCCCTGGCTATGCTTGTCAGAGCCTACATGAAAAAGAAACTGGTTTCACTTTCAAACAGATGTAATTTACCTTAAATAATTGTATCTCGATCTCTAAATTGAACTTTAACAACATACAGGAGGCTCTTGCAGGGTCTAGCAAGCTATTAACATAGCAGGGGATACGTAAATCTTAATTAAACAGGACTTGCAATAAAGAAAGCCTAAAAAGGGCTCTCTTTACAGGAAGTGTTTATGGAAGGCTGTGCAAGTCACATGCAGGGAGGTGTGACTAGGGTTCATAAACAAAGGGATTTAACTTCTAAATGGCAGAGGATTGAGCAGTGAGGCTGCAGGGGCAGGTTCTATACACCAAAACTGCTTCATTAAGCTAAAGTTATTCAAGTGACTATAGTGTCCCTTTAATTTTATTGCAAAGGAGATTAACTAAGAATTTGAATAATTATTAAAAAAAAATAGACAGAGATTAACAAA